TGCTAGTTGGGTGCTACAGTCAGCAGGAATTTTGACCTTCAGACTGAACTGGCTAACAGAATAGAAAAAGCTGCTAAGTGTTCAGGCTATTACAGGAACATGCGTGGAATAACAGTAAACTATCAGCTAAGGTGAAGATACGAATCTACAAGACTTGTATGCTGTCATCCCTACTTTATGGTTTAGAAATATGGACTACATGTGCTAGGCACATAAAGAGACTGAACAGTTTCCACATGAGATGTCTGCATAAGATCTTGAAAATAAAGTGGGAAGACAGAACACCAAACACAGAGGTACTGGAGTGTCCAGGACTGACACACTTAGAAACCACTATCAAGAAGAAGAGGTTGCGATGGATTGGCCATGTCAGGAGAATGGGAGGAGACCATATCCCCAAGAATATTTTGTATAGTGAGATTAGAGATGGTTCTAAAAGCAGGGCTGCTCTCTATGGCAGTATCACAATGGGCATGTTTAGACGAGTGCTCATCTGCGGTTTGCAGCAGCACAGACCTATCTGCAATGTCACAAGCCACACATGCATAGGCAGCAGAAGGCAGGGGCTAACAGGGATTAGCCCCTCCAAACACAGGCAGCTCCGGTGCGGGCTCTGGGTGGCTGCAGCAGGGGCGGGGCGAAGGGGGCACGGGGCGGAGAGAGCATGCACAGACAGAGATAAACAGCCAGAGCGTGCAGGCAGCCAGGAACTCAGCCCAGCCATGTTTGGAGCAGTGCCCAGCGAGTACATGTGTGGATGGGAAGGGGCATGGGGAACAGATTGAGGCCCCCCTGGTGGGGGTGAATGGGGCCCCGCAGTGGGTCGTAGAACACGCACTGCCTGGGTGGCTAGTCAAGGGGCACGGGGGGACTCCCACCGCTGCCCGCACCACTGGGGCAGGCAAAGGGGATATGTGCCCCGCCAACCTGTGCTATGGACAGGGCAGAGATGGGCTGCCACTGTGGGCTGTGCTCCACACCCCGCTGTTGGTGCCCCAGCCGTGTGATGCCACATGCCTCCACTGCTGGGCAGGCAGTGCAGCCAGCAAACAGGAGGCACGTAGCATCGCGCTGCTTCCAGGGCACTGGCAGCAGGGTGAAGACCCCAGCCCACAGTGACAGCCTGCCTCCATCCCACACACAGATAAGGGGGGGCCTGTGCCCCCTGTGCCTACCCCAGAGGTGTGCGCACTGGTGAGAGCCCACCCACGCCCCTGGATGAGCTCCTGGGCTCTGAGCATCCCACAACCCGCCCTGACCCTGGAGCCCCATTCACCCCAGCCCCTGCCTCTGTCTATGCCCCACTCCCTCCTTGACTGTAGGAGCTTCAATCTGCCCCCCCATGACCCTTCCCCACGCCAGACTTACTTGCTGGGGGGGGCATGCATGCCCCCCCCAAGAAATATTTTCTTTCTCTGCCTATGCTACATGCCAGACATGCAAGCATTTCCTGTGCTGCTAATTTGCAGTGTGGGGTGGGGAGGTTTGACACTGAGAGTATAAAAAAAAAGTGTTAGAAAACAGTGGGGTGGCATACGTGGAGGCAGCATGCACCACGCAAAACCAGAGTCTGGCCAGCCAAGCCCACACTCCAGCTGCCAGCCAGGCTTCAGTCTAGATTGCCACTGCTGGAGCCCCAGGACCCCAGGTAAGTCTGTTGGGGCTAGCTCAGGTGCTGGCTCCAGCCTTCCCTACCCCACCCAGGGCAACTTGCGGCATGCCAGGACACGCGTGCAAGGGCATCCCCTAGGGACAACTAGCAGCAGCAAAATGTGTGTCACTGCTAGTTGTCCCTGGGAAATGCATATTGCCACTCCTGGGGACAAGCCCAACATATAAAAATCAAGTTGTTCATCATCAGTGTAGAAAGATGGGAGGAGCACTCAGAATCTCATCTGATCTGGAGGGAACATCTGGCACTGGCTGCAGCTCAACATGAAGCAGCTCTGATCTGGAGGATGGAAGCAAAGCAAGAAAGAAGAAAGCAGCTTGCTGTAAACTTGGACTTCAACTCAGACAACATATGTATCTGTGAAACTTGTAACAAGCTGTGTCACTCTTGACTTGGGCTACAAACAGATTCATCAGGCATCTGACTAGACCTCTTATGCGTACACCATGATCCAGAGGATCAACAGTTGCCTACTACTACACACACATATATATATATATAGAGAGAGAGAGAGAAATTATATATAATTATATGAGAGGTTATAGTAAAAGAAGACATTTAGGATGACAAGTTAATCAGTGATTTGGAAGTTAGCAAGTGCAAATTTATAGTTGCTCAGCAAACTTACTTTTGGCCCATAGTGTATCTGTTCTGTGCAACAAATGAAACAGGAGGTCTTTGGAAAAAAATACGTAATAAAATAATTAAAGACAATTATAATTGTTACATGTAAAAGTTATACAAGCAACCATAGTTCAGGCATTTCCTGACTTTTTTTGTGTGTGGTTTTCTTTTTTAAGGAAAAGGGTAAAAAATAATCACATGCAACTGTAAGCCCTCCATTGTGCATGATTGGGTTTGAACCAAGACATTTCAACACTACAAGACAAAGTTATTGTTTGAGTTAGCAGTAAGAGAAGTAACTGATTCAGGGTTGTGTAGTGAGTGAAGCTGTTGTCTATAGGTCTGGGCACCTGTGAGAGGGGAACAGCTCTCTGCACACTTGGATCATGTCATGCAGTCTTCAGTGGGAAGTGAGGACGGCAGGGAGGGGGTGAGGTGGGAGGTGCAGTCATGTGGGTGTG